AGGTGCCAGTCAACCAGCAGACAGTGATAGCCGTACCATGTATTCTGCAAGAATACCAGTGATATATAGAATACAGTTCTGCTGAAGTTTCCAATTTAGTTCCTTAGATCTCTATTACCAAAGCTATAGGACAATTGCGATCTTTAAAATAATGACTTGTCTTCTTTCTCCTTTGATCGGATCGATTACATTTCCTCACCGGTCAGAGGCTTGAGGAGACTGAATTTTGTCTTTCCTGCTTACATCTGCACACCCTGCTAAACTACAATTGCTGACAATGGTGAAATTCTTTTTTTTTTACTTTAAAATGGGCTTTTAGTGCGTTCCATGGCATTTGCATGCATTTTTGATGCGTTTGCATGTGTTCCAGAGCAGGTAAAATAGGACTTGCTGCAGTTTTTTTTACATGCTCTGGAACTGAATTCTGTGGTGTGAACTAGAGCCCAAAATACCATTGGAATACATTGGACGCAGTTTTGATCTCGTCTGTAACTGCTCTTCTGGAACGAGCTTGGTGTGAACATGGCCTTAGGCTATTTTCTCTTAAGGTTAAATATTCTTAGAATATGTTGCATCCAGTGCCGCTAATATTCGCCAGAGAAACCCATACAATAACATCTATAATAGTTTACACATTCTAACTACATTTGAGGTGAGAGGCAGCCAAACAAGGGAAAGAGGATTACCGCCAGATCCCATCGCAAATAAAATTGGAGTAATTAGTGGAAGAGATAGGCTCCTCAGATCGTCTTCTATTGTGATCAGCTGTGGTATGCTGAATGCTACGTTGACATTGACTTACCCAATGTCAAATTAGTATGAATATATAACATCTTGAGAACCCTAAATTCCGAGCCATTTAGGTATGAACTCAGGGTTGCTGAGCAAGTAGACAGCCCTTTTTATTAACTTCTGTGGGCCAGGCACTGGACATGCACGCTGTGTTGGCGAGACTCAACCCCTGGTCAAAGTAGGAGAAACATCTGAGGTCTGTATGGTTATTAGGTTTTTGTTGAAGGGGTGTTGGGAGGCCCATTGCTCCATTCACAGTATGAAGTACAGATCACCCATATTGAGCTACTTCTCTAAGACTCTCCGCTGAACATGGTTGTGTTTGCCCATGTGAACCTGCATGCATATGCCCAAGAATATGCAAGCGATATTCATTAAGCCTTCAAGGTAGAATGAACACTCTCATCCATCGCTACTGTGCCTTGAGTGGGAGTCATTACTGCAGTGAGAAAATGACTGTAAATCAGCAAAGACCCAAACTATGAGTTATTGCTTTGGCTGGCCAAGCACCCAAGCTGCATGCAAGTTTATGGCCATATCTATACAATCCGGCCCTCCGAGAACCTTGCCCAACGTTGGCTAAGTAACAGCTGCATACAAGTACCAATGAGGTTTTTGCATGCTTTTCCCCATTTCATTTGAATACTATAGGATCTGCTTACACAGCTTTTACATGAGGAAGGGGTAAAGGTATAAGAATAGTTACTTTATTCCTTGCTCCAGCAGGCTCCCACTATCTATGGGGCAGGTCCTGTGAAGCCTCCTCTCTAAGGTTCTCCTGGCCATGGTCACACCCCAATGGAGGGCTAATAGCTAATATCTTTGCCTTGTACGTGATAATGCTATGGGACTGTTCACATGCTGAAGTGCCAGAGAGAAAAGGAGAGTGCTGAGTGATGACATTAAAAGCAATTGTCTCATGTAGAGATGAGCTCAGGTTCGGACCGAACTCTGTCTAATCCTGTGCTTCTCCGAACAGGGAAGTGCCATGAGCACTTCCTCCCAATCAGCTGCAGGCTAGACATTTCCCAGCTCCATGCAAACAAAGGGGTGTGATGCTTCTGCTGACATAATGTACCTAATATGGACACATTGTCATCTTCCAAACATAGGTAATGTAGCCATATAAGGTCAATGATGTCACTGCATCCTGTCCCTTTGCTTACGTCAAACTGGGTGCAGGGAATTCCCTCTCAGAAATAACTGGGCTGCACAGAAGGAGCTTCCTTCCATGTTCGTTAGGAGTTCCTTCCAGTTGCAGAGGAGTTCAGGTTCGGACCAGGTTCGGTCTGAACCTGACTTCATCCCTAGTCTAATCTATACCTGCATGCCTTTGGTATGTCGTATGTAAAGCAAGAAAGTGTGAAAAGAGATAAGTTATTGCTTACTCTACCAATATATTCTAAAATGGCCCGGACAGATGACTTCAATCTGGTAATCAGTCAGCCTATTTAAATGGAGAAAAGTCATTGTTCTACTCTTTGGTATCTTCTTGTGTCCAACACTGAACATGGACCAGTGAAAGCAAAAGAAAGAGTTGTCAGAAAAAAACTGATAGACCTGCATGGCAAAGGTAAAGGCTAGAAGACCATCTCCAAGTGGCTCTTGTTCCTGTGACTACAGTTGCAAATAGTATTAGGGCGTTTACTATCCATAGGAGTATAGCCAACCTCCCTTGCCACCCCCAGATTGAACAGAGGAATAGTTTGAATGGTAGCGAAGGAAAATTTCCAAGGAGACATAAGCAGAACTTCACCACATAAGGTGGTGTCCTTGCTCAAACCCTGGTGGTTGCTCCATGTAGAGATCTTCCTTAATGTCTCCATATAGGAAAACGGTTTTAACGTCTAGGTGTTACTTGCATGCCCTTCCCGGCTGCAATGCTAAGGAGTGGAGTGGGTGGAGTGTTTTTTACGACAAGAGCAAATGTTTCATTGTAGCCCGAATCTGAACCCCTATGAAACTTTTACAGAAAAACCAAAACCATGCAGTCTGGAGAAGGTACCGTTCAAACCTAAGACAGCTGGAGAAGTTTCCTCAAGAAGAGTGGACCAAACTATCTGCAGAAGTCTCAATGAGAGCTACAGAAATCGCTTGTTTGCAGTTATTGCCTTAAAAGGTTGTCCAAAAATATATTAGGTTAAAGGCTAAGTTTAATTCTCTAACCATGTTTCATGTTATACCCATATTTAGGGTATAACATGAAATATGGTTATATCTCCAAACGCCACCCCCTCCCCCCCATTTACCTGCATCCCGGGGTTCTTCCCTCAGGCTGCTGTAACTTTTTGAATTTGGTGTAGATGTGTGTGGCTCTGCCCACACAGATGCGTCATCCATTCACAGAATCTATGAATGGACAGAATACATGTCCCTTCTGCTACCGTGGCAGAGAAACTTTGGACTTCTCAATAAAGTACAAGTGCAATGACATCACCGCACTTGTAGTCTATTCATACTTTCTCTCACCCTTTAACTAAAACTATGTACCTTGGAATGGACTGGCACTGGGCGGTAGAGTCTGCATGAGCCAGGCCATTACACCCATGATCTAATGATCACAGTTGCATGTGTTGCACGTTCAAATGCCAAAAAATAAATACACTTTTATTTTATTAATGTGTGTGCATTTATTTATTTACACTAATTTGGGCTATGCCTTTTAGGGTTCCATCATTTCTGTCCACACCATTTTCATTTCTATTATTTCAAATATTCTGTTGACTCAAAAATCAAAATCTGATTTTTGGAATTAAATATGGAATAAACAACAATGGATGCCAATGACTTTGATCAGTTTCAAGTTATTTCAGACAAAATTGTGGATTCTTCTTTTTGTTTTCTTTCTTTTTGTCTGTATCAGAAGCCAGAGAGTGACCCAGCCCACCAGCTTCCATACCCTAATGGGTGGACTAACCCTTTTAATTGATCCCATTGAGCTCTCTCTCTTTTCCTTGAATCCTACTCTGTCTTTCCCGCTCGGCTTCCCACGTGGAGTGCATGAAGGATAAAATACAGGGAAGGGAGGGAGGATTGGGGGAGGGGGGGTGAGTGAGACGGTAGCGGAGATCCGCAGACCCTGACGTCTCGTAAGTGCTCCATGCAGCACCTGTCAATCAGGACATCTCTCTGGGTGATTGACACCAGGCTCTGCTGCAGTCACAATACTCCCATTCACCTGTAATACCCGATGGTGTATTGACACGTTCTGTCTAAGCATTTAGGCAAGCAGCCAGTGTGTGTGTGTCAGCTGCAGAGCTAGCGTATACTGCAATATCCCGGAGCAGGGATTCCCATCCAAAGGGAGAGTGGAATACCAGAATACCCCCCAACCCCTCCTCCCTATACCTCCCCTCATTTCAAAGCTACTCCACTGCAGTAAAATGGATTTAATCTCATCC